AGTGTTTTCATTTTCTTCAGATAAACACAGAAGTAGAACTTCTGGGTCATGTGGTAGATCTATTTTTAGTTTTCTTTTTGCTTTTGAAGAATCTTGATACTGTTGTGCATCGTTCTAGCCACCATCTTGAGTGGACCTTAAAAGTGTCACCCCCGCCCCCCAGCAGATTCTCCAATAAGTACATTGGTCTCCCTCAGAAAAATTCTCATGCACACGTTTTCCATCTTTGTAGTTAACTTTTTACTTGGATAGTATAGTGTTACATCATTAAAAACCCATCCTCCTATTTTTTCCTGTGAGCCTTTCATGAAACAAGCATGTAAGTATTCAGTATAATTGGGTTCTTTCTCATTCATAGATGAGAAGAGTGGTATTTGGAAATTTTGAGCCAATAAATCAAGTACAACTGGACAGTAACTGGGAAAACAGTCACTAGAAGTAAAAGAGTGAAAGGGGAATTTTGAATGATTATGCATAATCATAATGTGTAAAAACTGGAATTTCTAAAACCTCCAAACTTAGTGATCTGAAGTGATTACAAAAGTAACTATTATCATTCCATTTCATGATTCTTTCGGCTTATAGTTCAGCTCTGGTGCTGGTTTGACCTGATTCATTGATGTGACTGTAGCCAGCAGGGACCTCCCCTCAGGCAGGTTGCTCTAAGGGCACTCATTAAGGCTTCAGCTGCGATGGCTGGAGGCTGGAGCAATGGGTTCCTCTCCTCACGGAGTCCCACCTCCTGGGCTTCTTCAGAGCATGGAAAATCTCCAGATAAGTGGGAGGGACAGATTGGAAGGCTAGCCTAGGAAGTTATATGCCACCACTCTTTTGGTAAAAATAAGTCAGGGTTTCATTTCTCGTCAAGGGATGAGGAAACAAACCCTACCTCTTTTTTTAAAAAAAAAAATATATATACATTTTTTATTGATTTCAGAGAGGAAGGGAGAGGGAGAGAGAGATAGAAACATCGATGATGAGAGAGAATCACCATCGGCTGCCTCCTGCTTGCCCCCTACTGGGGATCGAGCCCACAACCCTGGCATGTGCCCCAGACCGGAATCAAACCTGGTACCCTTCAGTCCACAGGCCAACGCGCCATCCACTGAGCCAAACCAGCTAGGGCCAAACCCAACCTCTTGATGGGAAGTATGGCAGTCCCACTGTAGAGGGCGGTGGACAGGCAGATTTGAGTCCCTGAGGACCAGTATTGTAAGAACCTACCACAGTTGCGATATGTTTCTTACTTTACAAGCGCATTCACATCCTTTTCTCATTTCGTTATCACAAGAACCCTGAGAGTTGGTAGATTTTTTCCATTTTTGGAGGTGAGGAACCTCAAGTTCTGAAGAGTCCAAATTGGTCTATGATGGCGGAGCTAGGATTTAAAATCAGACATTGTCAATCAACAATCATGAATAAGACATGCACGCGTAACCCCGCTTTCCAAAGAGTAGGTTATAAAGTCTAAAGCCTACTATACACTGGCTAAATAATGCCGAAACGTCTGAGGTATAATCTCAACACTTACTAGAATTTTCACATCACACAATATTGTAAAGTGACATAGAAACTAATTTTGTTCTTAATATTTTATATACCTTATCCCTATAGGAATGTGTTTTAAATACATGTGTCTTTCTCTATTTTAAATCACAGATTTGTGTTGGAATAAATATAAAGGGAAAGAAACTGTCTGATATTCCAGATGTCAGAATTCAAAAATAAATTTTTCAAACTCTTCTCTAAAACACTTCTCGTGCTTTCCCCCCTCAAAATTGAGAAGGCAGTTTATAATCAACCGTAATCTCACTTGAATTTCCTCCATTCTAACTGCAAATCTCATTTTAAAGCAGAGCGAACAAAAATGGCTGAGGAAAGCAATTGAGAAGCAGCTCAGCCATAACAAAAAATTATGTTGGACCTTAACGTCCTGCAGGTTCTTGCTCCACTAAATTAACATAACCCTCTCTTACCTTCTATCGGAGAGGGAACATTAAAAAAAGGTATGTGCCTATATAGAAATTGACATAATGTGTATATTTACACAAACATAAAGTTATACATCCACACATACACTAAAATTCATGGGCTTTTAAATCCAAGGAATCATTATGGAGTCATGTTTAGTTGGTAACTATCACATTTAGATTGGTTCTAATTTACCAAAATCGAAACTACTTGGGGAACTGAGACAAGAACAAAACAAATAGGAAAAGATCTGGATTTCTGGAGTAAAGAAATCATTTTAGAAAACATAATGGTATAGAACAGTGGCGGTTTTAAACAACTAATGATTCCTTTTATGACCCACCTATCAAGATGAGTGAATTGGACCTGAAATAGCATCTTGTTAAATTTAAATTCAAATAAATGATCATTAGAGTAACAAACAATATGACAAACAGGGAGCAATAAAGATTTTGAACTCAGCACCATTAATTTGCAGAATGAAACAAATTATGATATTTTTCTGTGTAAGTAATTAGAAACTTGATAAAGTTATCTACAACATTTAACTCCTCATTTTTGTACCTTTAGATTTCTGAGAACACATACAAAAGGAATTCATTGTTTCTCTTTAGATCATAAACACTTCCAAAGCACAATAAGTCTTAAGCCCAAATGGCGGATTCAAAAGAGAAATGTTATTCAAAACTCCCAAAGGCAAAATCATTTTTAAAAATCAACAACCAAAATTTTCCCAAGTGTCAACATCGTATCTTTTGTTTTCACAACCCATTTACTCTTCTCACCATATACCCCAATTTTCCTATTTTTGTTTATAATGTTTGCTCCTAGGAGAGAGAGAGGAGGGAAGGAAAAGGTGAATGCACATTTTTGCACAAATGATTACTTTTTGGTTAGCCTAGCAACATTACTTTGCGTATTGATGATCATTTCTTATTTCTTTCTTATTACTTCACAGGATCCTTTTTATCGGCAGTGGGAGAGAATATGGAGTTAACTATATATTTTCTTATTTAATATTACTCTGAGGTTAGAGTTGGAAAGCATATTTATCTGATTATTTTTTAGCTTGTGGTTTGTGGGTGTGATTCCTTCAAATATTTTATTTTCACAAACCTTGAGCATATTATGAGAAAATAAGCCAATATGTGACTCTCCTCCTTTCTTACCTTCATCCAGACTGTTACTGATTCACAGGGCAGTCTGAACCATGGAGCAGTTACTTGTTTTGTCAGAGAAGGAATGGTGACTCAGAATTGTGTACCAAATTATTTCCTTTTTTGAAGTAAACTCATTTCTAGGAGGTATGACCATAATGTATTTGCCTCCGAGTGTGGCCATCAGAATGATTGGTTGCCTCATCTTGATTTCTTTGTATGAAGTGAGAGCATTCTCTTTTTTATTTAAATGAATGGCTCTTAGCAGTTTTGACTTTTAAAGTCACATCCGTTATTTTTGAGAGATTCAAAGTTTATGCGAAGTTCTTGTAGGAACTCAACCAGGAATGATACTTCATCTGGTGATTAGCTAGAGTCATATAGTCACACATTGTTATAACTGTGCCAAGTGTTTATTTTTTTCTGCTCAAAACACCTTTATTGGCAATTCAATTAATATTGAGCCCTCTCCACACACTATACTCCAAGTCTCAAAGCCTTTTCACATTATTTTTCCACCTAGAGTTTCCTTCTTTTCCCACTTCTGCATGTCTACAAACTTCTTAGTTTTCAAAATTCAGCTCTGCCTGAGTCCTTACTGAGCTTCCTGTTGAAAATGACTTATTCATCTTTAACCCGCTCCCTCCCTGAAATAGTTTTGTTCCATGGACAGAATCATAATTCTTAACAATCGTTTCTAGTTTTCATATAAGTGAAATGCAGTGTCAAACTATTATAATGATTATTGCAAAACCTTGGTAACATACTTTCTGAGCAACTCATTTATTTCTGTTTTATTTATTTTATTCATTCCCAGTTAGCTTTTTATTTTGTTGAACCTCAACAATTGGGACCTTAAGACTACTTAGTTAGGAAAGGCAGGCAGTAAATTTGGGGCTGAAGATCCAGTGCTGATCTAAGTCATTCCCTTCTAAGAAATGGAGTAGCAAGATAGAGTGTATGTTGGGGATGAGTGGGGAGTGGGTCCAAAAGAGCGGTTAGTTACATCTCTGCTGCTAACCAGCTGTGTGACTCTATACAAATGAATTGACCTTTTCGGGTTCTTCTACCCACATCTTTTACCAAAAAAAGAGAGATTGAACTCATGTTTTCTCAATTCCACATTGTAACATTTTAATATTCTACAATCTATATCTTACTAGAGTAGCCTACCCCCAATTTCCCATAATCCTTTACTTTTGTGTAGTCCCTTTAGGGTACAACACAGTTATATGCATTAAAAGACCTTACCTGCTTACTGATTCTGTATCTAAGATTTTAATCTAATTGTTCTGGGAAGGATCTAAATGGAAAGGGTCAGTTTTAGCTCCTTTGGGAAAATTTAACCCAGTGATATCATGTTTTTCCTGTGAATCTCCAGTTACCTGAACCCATTCCTAGGATCTTTTTAAAAACCCTCCTGGAGAAAAAAAACACACACACAAAAAAACCCCCAACACCTCCCCCCACACCCTTACACACACACTTGCGCGCGGCACACAGACACAGACACACACACACACACACACACACACACACACACTTGAAACTACAAATCCCATGAACCAAGGATCAAGGCTGGGAGTAGACAATTCCGCTCCCGTCCCCTTGCGCCCCCGGAGTGCAGACGGCCGAGAGTCAGGCTGGGGCATCCCACCATGTGCCTGAGAGAAACCACGGCCGTTTCCTCCCGGCTTTCACCGGCGCTCGCGCTCGGCTCCTTTAAATCGGTGCTGAGGGCGAGGAAAGATGCTGAGCGACGCCGGCGGGATGGGCGTGGGCCCGGACATCACCTGTTCCGCGGCGCGCATGCGCACTGCGAGGGGGCGGGGCGCGGGGGCGGGGCCGACGGCGCGGGGCCGGCGCGGCTCGCAGCTGCTTCTCCCCGGCTCCGGGCGGCGAGGCGGCGGCGGCGGGGAGGTGTCTCCTGCCGAGGTGGCCTGGCGTTGTCCAACATGGAGGAGGCACCGGCCGCGGGCGTCCCCTGCGAGCGGGACTAATCCCCGCCTGTCGTTCTAGGGAGCGGCGCCGGGTCCCGAGCCCAGGACTCCGCTGCTGCCCGCACACCCCGCTGCGGACCCCGGCTCCGGTGGCTCCTCGGGCCGCCGGCTTCCCGAGGGGACGGCGCCAGGAGGGAGCGCGGCGGCTCCGAGTGCCCCCGAGCCATGGGCAATGAGGCGAGCTTGGAAGGGGAAGGGCTCCCCGAAGGGCTGGCGGCGGCGGCAGCGGCGGCGGCGGCCGGAGGAGGGGCTGGCGGGGCGGGGAGCCCCTTGCACACCGTGATCCCGGCCGGCATGGAGGCGGACCTGAGCCAGCTGAGCGAGGAGGAGAGGAGACAGATCGCTGCTGTCATGTCAAGGGCGCAGGGGCTGCCCAGGGGGAGCGTCCCCGCGGCCGCTGCGGAGCCGCCTCCCATGCACAGGCACGCACAGCATGCTCTGTATGTCCGGGCATATATGTACAGCTTCCCTGCACATACGTGTCGGCACGGCGGTACATATATGTCGTCTCCGTCCCTTTTACGCTCCCGAATGGGGTGGCGTTCAAGGAAGCGTAAGCCTCCTTTCTGATGGGCAGAGTAAAAATGGTGCATTTGTAGACTTTCTGGTGGGATGGTCAAGGGTTGCGTTCTTGGAGCTGTGATTTGGGGTTGTGATTGTTGGCCTTTTGGAACCTTTTCCCTCCAGGATGGCGAGGAGAGACGCCCTCCCGTGTTTTTACTAATCGGAAAGTCTTCCATTAATGCAGAACGGATGTGCTGGGACATAGGTAGATAGGGGCATCTACCTGTCTCTGCTTAGACCTCCTCATTCTGGGGGCTTTTTTTTTTTTTTTTTTTTTTATAAATGTCTAAATGTTTCTGTAACAATACCATTAATTCCCGGGAGGTGTTGTGTTTTGTCTTTCCTTCCCATCCCACCCCCCAGAGGAGAACGGGAGCAGTTTGGGTAGAAGGTCTAAAATGAATGCATCCTTTATATTCCATGCGGGGCCCGAAAATATGTTGTGGCATTAAACAGATGGGTTGGTCACAGCAGAGCAGGTGCTGTGCATGTATTTCTGAATTGGCATATGCTATTTTTTAAGCCACTGCTCTTTTATATACAAAAAGTGCCTTACAGTTTATGGAAGAACATGTAAATTTGTGGTATCTTAAAATTAGTTTCCAGTCCATACTTTTAAAGACAAAGCAAATCAATGACAACTTGCCCAGGCAATCAGGTGCTAGTCTGTCATGTTAACGTATTCATTTCTTGCGCTAGCTCCCCATTTTCCTTCATCCTAATAAATTAGTTGTTTTCTAATTAGTGTACTAAGAGGGTATAATCATTGTGCCTTGCTCTGCCTTTATTATTGTAAACAAATCCTTTAACTTTCCCCCTTCCCATAGAGAATAGTTTTCTATTGGTGGTCCTGAAACCATTCCCGTTTTATGATAACTGAAAGGAAAACTACAATTTTTTCATTTGAAGTATTAGAAATATTACAGATCTGAATATATAGGTGTAGATTATTATACTGTACTTCATAAAATAAAAATATTTTAACTTCAGCACTCTCATATAAGTATATGCAAATGATTGTCAAATAATTACAATGTTAAATTTAATATAGGAGAACTGTAAAATGAATTATGGATACCTAAAATGTTTTATGACAATATTTTTCATATAAAATCCTAAAGGTCTAAAATCTATCAGGTAAAAACCCTATTTTCTTGAAATGAAACCACCACTGCTAGTTAAGTTAGCTCCTTATATTGACTATGTTTTTCTGTGTTTTTAAACTACTAATATATTGGGCTATTTCTTTGGTAAAAAGCCTTTCTTATTCGTTATTCTAAGTAGTACAGCTATGTACTGTTTTTCTCTAACGGATGAAAATTTGACTTGGAAAATATTTTGAATGCTCATATACTAGATTCCCATAATGAGGCACAATATTTTTATTAACCTTTTAGAAATGTATGCCTGCTCTACAGTTTTTCCTAAGAGGCACAAGCAACAGGTTTAGCATGCTCCTTGCACATACCAAGAAAAGTATGAGTTTTGATTTCTAAATTCCTAACTTTTCTTCTTTCAGAGGACGTGTGAAAAATATTTCAGCCTTTGTTTTATGCACTATTTATATCAGATAGCATACTTTTAAACTCTCTATTGATAATTTTATGGTAGAATTTTTATTAGTAGGTAATTTATGACTTCTTGATTAAAGCTTCATCTAATTACATAAACAATGTAATTTTTAATTTTTGCAGCTTACATTTTATTGAAAATTTTCTATAAGAGGCACATAATTTTTAGAAAATTATTATCCCCATAGGTGATAACCAAAGAAATACTTGGCTTATCATTTAAATATTTAGAAACACATTAATTTAAGTATATATGAGAAAGTATATGCAAATTACTTGAAGTTTTAGGAGATTAAGTGTTGTGAATTAGACACGGTTGGGTCCGATTTTTTAAAATCTTTTTAAGAAATATGGGTTGAGAGCCCAGGGACCTAGGTTCATATTTTGTTAATTTTAACTGACTCATGATAAATTAAAAATACTTCTCAGCCATATGTGCCTCAGTTTCCTTGCTTCTAAATAAGGCAGGTGATACTTGTCTTACCTGTCTTGTGAAGTCATTCATTGTGAGGATTAAAAATTCAGAAGGACGTTTTGTTTGAATTTTAATATGAAGAAACCTTATAAATAAATAAAAAGTAGTAATATTAATATCAACAGTGAATGGCACTGACAGTGATGGCTACAGACAGGTTGTATATTGAGTTATTCATTATTATGAATTAGTTTGACATGTCTATATTTTACATATGGGACAGTCAGTGCAATATAGTGGAAATCCCCCAGGAATCAGGACACCATATTTCTGTGACTAATTTTATAACGTTGGATTAATTTCTTAGCCTCTTTAACCCCTAGTATCCTCTACAGTATAAAAATGAATTCCTGTAGTTGCTTGTATTTCTAATATAAAATTTTATATGACTCAGCATATGAAGTTAAGTGTCATTGCCTATTGTGTTACATTTAACAAAATATTTCAGCATTCCAACTGATTTTACATTCTACTCTTAAATACATGTGTACCTCATTTGTAGATGAACCATTTTTCTCCTGCTAGCCTATAAAAGAAAATTCTACCCTGGGGATGACAATAGCAAAATAGTGATATTGTATAAAGCATGAGGAATTATAAGCTAGAAGTTACAGGTTGCAAAAGTAATGCTCCTAGATTTTTGATTCGTCGTAGACCCGGGAAATGCCATTTTATTACTTCTTCTACTATTCTTTATACAGCTACAGATGAAAAGGGCTTACTAAAATCCACTTCTGATTAGTAGAATATTTTATAAGAATTCTGTGTTTCTCAATTATTTTCTTTAGAATTCCTCTGGGCCTCCCCTCCTGTCTAGACACTTCCTCACCTGTTTGTCTTCCTAGAGCAGCAGGCCAAATCCAGGATCTAAAAAGAATATGGCATGTTTCCAGTTATATCTCAGAAGGCCTGTACAAGAATTTGAAGTGGAAAGAACTCAAGAAACATTAATTTATAATAATACAAAACTTGCCATGTTCATCATTCGCTCACTCATTGCTATTCACTCGTCAATCATTAATGCTCATTTCCTAGTTGCCAGATTTGGTTCTAGTGGTGCAAGGATGAGTGAAACACGTTGTCCAGGAGTTCATAGTCAAGTGAACAAGACACAGATTGCATTGTAGTCATTTTTCTTTTTAACAGAACAACTGTTAATACTAAACAAAAATTCACCAAAAGACCACAATTTGCTAAGACAACTTTATATTTTTGTTTGGTATTAAGCCTACATTTTCTCTTTTTATATTTTATTTTTCCATCTATCCCCTCTATGCCCTCTTCAATGACTGTCTTTCTATTTCTCCAAGGTTTCCATGTTTTGTGTTTATTTACATAATTGTAGCAACTAAGATTAAGTGTAAATTGTAAGGCAGTCTTTATAGCTGTAAGGCAATCTTAATAGGTATTTTTTTCACAAGGGGAGCCTACAATATAATACAACTTATATTTGTAGGAGGTACATGAAATTATAATTTCTGATCCAAGCTGCTTTCTTTGAATTGTTTATTGTTATACATATTTGGTATTCATGAACTTTATTTTTCATTTGTTCAGTTGTATTATGTGAAATAATATCATAAAACAGTTGTTAAGTGTAAGTAGTATTTCCAATAGAGGACAATTTAGTTAAATTAAGAATAGATTTTTAGGTACTCGGTTTAAATATACATTTCTAGGACTCTGAACAAGGGAACCAATTCAATAAAATGTCTAAATAATTACTTATAAGATAGTCACTTGTATAACAGAATCCTGAAGCATATGCCCTTCAAGGGAATGGTCTATTTTATTAATTGAATGTGAAACATTTCTAGAACAATATAAAGATCTAAACAATGGAACTCTGAAAATAATATATTACAGGTTTACTATGGCTTTTTCTTTCATATGGAAGAGAACACATAGGAAGGCCTATAAAGAAACATTCAAGATCATTTTCCCCAAATGAAAATATGTGGCTATACATTTTAAAACATATCTTAAAATTGTTGGAGTTAATATGGGTATTAATTTTACTTCCTTGTTTAAGTAAAGGCTTCAGAGACATGCCAATACCTGAAGTTTTGTAACATTTTTTCCTGGAGGAAATTGCCAGAACTACGAATTTTATGTACTTATCTTCTATTAAAAAATCACTTTGTGTATACATTGCCATTTATAGGTTATTTTCTTTCTGACCCTTTTCTAATTAGAAGTAATATTTCAGTGTTTCTTTCTACCATGCTTTACATTATTAACTTACAAATGATCTGAAATTTAAAATTTATTCTGTCCATGAGTAGGTATATTTTGATAAAACAAATAAAAACCTGTAGAACTTTACTGTGATCATCTCACATTTTAAGTGTGACTGAATCACTGTTTTTTCCTCCATTTTTTTCTATTAATTAAAAAGAAGTAAAACTTTTCCAAAATGGAAAAGCTACATATATTAAACAGAATACTTGAAATTTGATATTTTTCTGTGATTCTAATGCAGCATGTTTTTAGTTTCAAGTTTATAAATAAAGGATGGCTTCCTCAAAAAATTAATGTACTTGATTTTTGGCTAAAGGTATATATAAGAAACAATTATTTTAATTCTTTAATATAGTGATTTAAATTTGATCCTGTTTCCAAAACTATTTTAAATTATCCATCTTGTATATTTGTCTATGATTTAAAAGATATCCTTCAAATTAATTACTTCTTACGGTTTAAACTCAATGCCAATAAACATTATTAATAATCTAAGAATAGCAATAGTATATGTTGTAGAAAACATTACGCAAGAATATCATATATTTTCTTCATCTAAGGAAAGTAGCAGCTAAGGAAAGAGGTCACAGCTAGCTTGTTGCGTTTGGCATAGCAGGCTATATCTCACGATGCTTTAAACATCTATTGTTCCCTTGCAAACAGATCTCAGAATGAAAATTAACTATTAGAAAAAATAATTAAATGATATAACATTCTTCCATAAGACAGATGGAACTATTGCCTAAAAATTGCTAATTAAGTAGAATTTTTCATTCTATAAACTTTAATATTTGAGGGATATTACCTTTTTAGACAGAATAGGGTAAAATTGACTAGATGATCAACTTTATCAGAGTCCCTATTATGTGTAACCTTCTGTACTGGAAACTCCCCTGATGTCACATTGTGGGCAAACAACAACAAAAAACAGTTGCAGCGAGCTCCCACATTTTAAAATGAATATTTTTACTTATTAGTGCTGCTAGTATTTTGGAGGCTAACATACTTTGGCCATAACTTTTGATGGAAAAGGACACATCCTATGAACGTGAATGTACTGGAATATAATGTTGCATGATTTACTGAGTTAATATATTTAATTAGGTTTGAAGTATGGCCAGATTCTATTAAGTGCAGATGTAAATTATTTTTATTATGAATACTTTCTGACTAGATATCTTAATTTTTCATAAATCATAGTAGCAAGTATTGTCTTCTTCCCCATTTTCTTTGCCTTCCTGTTGAAAATCTTTCTTTATAAAGAAAGTAATAAAGGCATTAGATGTTTTAGATCACTTACAGGATGTTATAAAAATGGGTTCTAGTTATATTTATACTCTTATAATTTTGAGGATTTAAGGAAGTTACACCTTTTTGCTTTCAGTTGTAATAATTTTAATTTCATTTTTTTTTGTTTGTTTCACTCTTGTAGGAAACAAGAATTCGATAGTAGTCACCCTCCAAAGCCGCCAGGAAAACCGCCGGATCCTGGACGTCCAGCTCAGCCTGGTCTCAGTAAAAGTAGAACTACAGACACTTTGAGGTCAGAACAGAAATTGCCTGGAAGGAGTCCTTCCACTATTAGTTTGAAAGAATCAAAGTCCAGAACTGATTTTAAGGAAGAGCACAAGTCTGGTATGATGCCTAGCTTCCTCTCAGAGGTTAACCCGTTAAGTGCTGTCTCCTCTGTTGTAAATAAATTCAATCCTTTTGATTTGATATCAGACTCTGATGCATCCCAGGAAGAAACTGCCAAGAAACAAAAAATATCTCAGAAGGAACAAGGAAAACCTGAGGGAATCACAAAACCTCCATCACAACAACAGTCACCCAAGTCAGTTCCTAAGCAGCAAGGACCTGTGAGGGCCCCGCATCAGCAGGATGGCTCTCCCAAATCAGTGTCTTCTCAGCAACCAGAAAAAATGAAATCACAACCTCCAGGGACCGGAAAGCCAATTCAGGGACCTACCCAGGCTCCTCAGACAGATGAGACAAAATTGCCACTCCAAAGAGATGCAACTAGGCCTCAGACTAAACAGTCAGACACAGTAAAGGGAGAATCCCTCAAACCCTTGCTGCAAAGCCCATCCAAACCACCGACTCAGCAAGCAAGTCCTGGAAAACCTCCAGCCCAGCAGCCTGGACCTGAAAAATTTTCCATGCCACAGCCTGGACCTGCAAAACCCTCAGCTCAGCAACCAGGGCCAGGGAAGACCCTAGCCCAACAGCCAGGGACAGCAAAGCCCTCAGCTCAGCAGGTGATAGAAAAACCCCCAGCCCAGCTACCAGGGACAACAAAGCCTGCAGCTCAGCAGCCTGGGCCAAAGTCTCCAGCTCAGCCTCCAGGACCAGCAAAGCCGCCTGCCCAGCAGACAGGGCCACCAAAATCCCTAGCTCACCAACCTGGGCCACAGCCTCCAGCTCAGCCACCTGGGCCTACAAAGACACCTGCGCAGCAGGTTGGACCGGTGAAGTCTCTGGCTCAGCAGCCTGAGCCAGGAAAGACTCCTGCTCAGCAGCCTGGCCCAGCAAAACCCTCAGCTCAACAGCCTGGTCCAGCAAAACCTTCAGCTCAACAGCCTGGTCCAGCAAAACCTTCAGCTCAACAGCCTGGCCCAGCAAAACCCTCAGCTCAACAGCCTGGCCCAGCAAAACCCTCAGTTCAACAGCCTGGCCCAGCAAAACCCTCAGCTCAACAGCCTGGCCCAGCAAAACCCTCAGCTCAACAGCCTGGTCCAGCAAAACCCTCAGCTCAACAGCCTGGCCCAGCAAAACCCTCAGCTCAACAGCCTGGTCTAGCAAAACCCACACCTCAGCAGCCTGGCCCAGCAAAACCCTCAGCTCAACAGCCTGGCTCAGCAAAGCTCTCAGCTCAGCAATCTACAAAACCAGTAAGCCAAACAGGAGCTGGGAAACCTCTGCAGCCACCGACTTCTCCATCTGCAGCCCAGATCCCAGTACAAGGCCTCCCTAAAACCATCTGTCCTCTTTGCAATACTACTGAACTTCTGTTGCATGTTCCAGAAAAGGCCAATTTTAACACATGCACTGGATGTAAAACCACTGTGTGTAGCCTCTGTGGTTTTAATCCCAATCCTGATATAACTGAGGTGAGTGCATTTATTCACTGTGTCCATGCTCTTAAACTATTACCGTCTTCCACAAAGGATGTTTCACTTATCGCTAATATGATAGGATGGCATTGTTTTCCTCTGGTTCTTCCCTTCTTTCCCTCCTTCTTGTCTCCTCTTTCTCTTTTCTGCCAATTGTAAGTTAGAGTTTTTAAAAACCTTTTCTTCAATAATCCTAAAATATTGCTGCAATTTCTGATACATTTGGCATATAAAGCAAATATGAATTGATTGAAAGATGCTGCACTCTGTAAGAACCACAATATTTATTATTTAGTATGTAGTGATATTACTTTAATTTTAAATTCATGCTCCTACCTACCAAAATTATGATACTCTTACCTGGGATTATATTTGTGCTGGGAGAACAAGTTTTCCAATTCTAATAGAATTTTAATGTAAAGTTCAATACATTAGTCAAACCACACATTCCTTTTCCTTGACAGAGATTTTGATATCTCCTATGAGGCATTCTTCCCTCATTAGTTGAGAGTCATTAATACTAGCATAGTCAGTTCATAAAATGAAGAAGTCATTAGAGAAGGGTCAACATTGATGGGTGACCTCTCAGAAGGACTATAGTTTATATTCCAAGTATTTGGGCAAACCTTGTTGACATATCAAATTATAATGGAGCTGGTAGTGCCACAAATGAATTCAAAGTTGTTTATTCTGAATGAGGATAGAAAAGTAATTTTCATCAAGTCAAGGTAAAAATTTGGCAATATTGGTGGGAGAGGGATAAAAAGCACCAAATAGCTGAAAAACTCGGAAATTCTCTTGAGTTAAGAAGTAATACAGTGAAGATAAGATAATAACATAAAATAAAGTGAGAATAAAGATGCTTAGCATCCAAAAGAATATATTTTTAAAAGAAATCTGGTAGCCCGGATAGGCACTGAAACGGTTTACTCTGTCGGGAGGACAGCTGTTGGTGGGCTGTGTGCATTATGTCTGGAACAGCCCAGGAAAAAAACAAAAACGACAGCAGGCAATGAAGAATTATGTGATTTAAATACCCTTGAGAGGGGAGACTTGTGTACCTTTTTTATAAAGGAAATCTATTTTATGATAATAACAGGAATGAGGATTGATAGCTATTATGTTAGTTTGGATACTTATGGTGATGAAAGATGAAAATGATGTGCATTTAAAATGTGACAACTTCTTGTTATTTTGTAAAGTATATTTTAATCAAAAGTCATGTTGAGTACCTTAACTTTTTAAATAAGTCATTCTTTAATGATAAAGTTTCAATTAATAAGAACATGCTGCTTTCAAGTTATGGAGGAAATCAGATTATAAGTAGTTTGTTTATGTATTAATATATTTTTAAATGTTGATAAAGGTATATTTCTACCTATAATATATGATCTTGATAGGACTGTCCAGTAATAATGACTTCAAACAATAGATTATTACTTTGTAAAATATTTTCTATGTTTTTATGGCAACTTATAAGGCAGAAATATGCAGTTGAACACTCAAGCCACATACATGGTGGGGCACAAGTAGGTTTACAGTTGTGAGTATGCAAAACACAGAGTTTATTCTTGTATTATTATTTATTAATTATTGTATTGTCTTCCATATGAAAACCGTAAATCCACTTTTGTCCCATCCTGTATATTATTTGACTACATACCATATAGAAGACATCTTACTATATGTTTTGTGGGATATAAAAATAACTAAAACATAATGCTGATCTTAACATGATCAAAATGTACTAGGTTAGATAATAAATGCACAATGAAATATACTAGGTGGTCAAATGATGATGACTGTCTTAAGGGTAGGAAGTGTCATTTTCAATGGGCGAGATTAAGGCAAGCTCAGTGGAGAAAGTGGCATTTGAGCTAGGTTTATAAGGCTGGATACTGTTTCTATAGATGAAGAACAGGAAAGACTGTAATGATTTCGTCCAAGACCTAGAGCCAAACTATTGCAGGCAATATTTACAGAATCAGGGATAAATCTAGGTTGGCTGAAGTGGTGGCAAAGAAGAAACAGACAATGAGATTGGAGAGAAGTTGAAGTCAGATTTTGGTCTTCCACTTTTAGCAGGTAGTGATGGGCATTCTGCTTTATGAAACTTAACTTGACTAATGTAGTCATACCTTCAATCCTTCATTCATTTTAGAAATTTGTATCAAATACATAGTTTTGAGGCACACAAATAAGTGACATGATAAAATCAAGTATTCATTAGATATAGAGTCATCCTTCAACCAGAAAATAGGGGAAATTAAAGTTGTATATAAGATATATATAAATAAATTTGTGTGTGTGTGTGAAAAGTAACTTTGTATAGGGCTTTATAGTTCACATAGTTTTTTCCTATTTGTTTTATCAAAATTAAATTTCCAAATAATTCTATGGGCATATATTCTGTTTTCTCTATTATACTAATGAGAAAACTGATGTCCTACTGGTTACTATGGTTAGTTTACTTTCAGGATCATCCTGATAGTAAATTGCTAAGCAGAATCCAAGCTAAATCTTCTGATTCCAAGTCATGGTGGGAAGAGAGATAAAGTGCTGTGAGGTCAAAGGAAGAAGCCGTCACTGTCAGCAGGGGGTATCACGACTGTTTTAGTGAAAACAAATATTTGAGCTGGGACTGTGAAGATTAATAAGAATTTGGACACACATGAAAGGAATTGTGAATGTGGAGGCTGGTAGAGGGCCTCACTTGTAATAAAGGAAACATCTCCATATTGATGAGATGAGCTTGCGCGAGTCTTTTACACTTTGTGTGACAATGACATCATTTGAAAAATAATAACATGTTCTCTGTCAAACACATTGGGTTGTTAGGAGGATTAACTGAACCTTTGTATGAGAAAGTGTTTTGTAATATATGAAGTGCTTTTCAAGTTGTAACATAATGTGACATGGGTATTCTACCTTAAATAGATTTGACTTTTGAAGCTACTCTCAATTTGTTCTCTACATAGATACTGCATCATAAATTATTGGCTTCTGAGGTTGCAATCAAAAGACATTTGATCTATGATGTTAATAGTAACATTTTAACTTTAATTTTTTTCCCCCCTCTAAGGAAAAATGCAATCCAAGTTCTAATTCTGAACTCTAGGAATGCATCTTCCCTAATCCTGTTCACCAAATGGCCAGTTCCTCAAACTCCTGAATTATTAGGAGGTCAGAGTTGGGAAGTTCAAGCTCTGGATAGAGACTGAGAGCCTCTGTTTTAAGAGAGATAAGACAATTTAAGAGAGATAAGAGAGAAAAGAAATTTTAGGAAATATCTCCATTTCTAAACTGTTAAATATATGATGAGAGAGTTAACTTCTCTGCATCTTTCAAGGAGGACCTTACACTCTAGGTCTAATCATCCTGAAATATTCAAGTTGAGTGAACAGTTTTTCCATGCAAAACAGGAAAAGAGGCTGATGAACCTTCTGTAGCATTTTATGTATATGACTTTTTGGTTTTCAAGTTAGATGTTTATATGCAGTAACGCAATATTATTGATTTGTAGATGACGGGTAAAATAGAATATTGGTCTCTTGTATCACTCCTTGAAAAGACTAGGAGAATTTCTCTGATACTTCTTGTTACTAACATATCAGAATTATGACTACATTTGCTTATGAAGATCCTGGCTCTTAAATAACTACCAGGTCTCCGGGGGAAGCACTGGAAAGATACCAACACTCAGAGAAGAGCTTTAGGGAAGGGAACTTGTACTTCCTTAACTAAATTGGCCAGTTTCCCCCATCTCTCTCTCTCTCTCTTTTCTCTTCTCTCTCTCTCTCTCTCTCTCTTTCTCTCTCTCTCTCTCACTTCAGGTCACCCAAATTTCTGTGTGAGGAGGATACTGTTTAAATTGACTATCCTCTCTGGTACTGTCAAGATGCATGCTTGCATGCTTTTCCAAATAAACCTTAAGAATAGACTGGTTCCAAGCCTAGATTTTGATGCCAAGAGGAGTGTATAGCTCTATCTCTTCTTGCCAGTCCATTAATGGAATAGATCTCAACCATGAAGGCTCTCTCTTTGGGCTTTCTTTCTGATACAAAAACAGTATTTGCTTTCTAATTAGTAACAAAAGCATTTTGTTGTTGTTTTTGTTATGTTTGATCTATTTGTCTCTTTTGATGTGTAGCCTGGGGCACAATAGATTTAGGGACAGATTTAAAGACTTGTCCCTAATTTATGATAATTATCCCGGCTCTTATGAAATTTTGTAATATATGAAATGATTTGTCATTTTTCCGAATGTTGATAATAACCAACTTTTAGTGATGGAAGTTTTTCTTTTTGTCATAATATTTTGATTATTATTTCCCATATGGTAATAAGTCTTTTGGCTGAATCTAGATATTATATTAAACAAAATATGACCATATCTTAACAGCCAGAAAAACCCAAAAAGCATACACACCTAAACTTGCATATAGACTATCTCCATTATTAAAAAACAAACAAACAAAAAATGACTGGAATTCTTCAGATTGGTCAAATGATTTAAGTTGCCACCTCTTAGGTGGATAGGCCTACTACTTCTTCCATTTATATTAAGAGAAACTGGGGGGAGAGTGGGCAGATCTGTTAGGAATTGCTGGTGAGAAAAGACTAGAGTTATGGGAAATGTCAGGAGGCTGAAACCTATGGAGAAAGAAAACCAATAAGACATTTTTAATGGTGGAGTAGCTTAAAGAATTTTTAGAAAAGTGGAGAGTCTCTGTTAAGTTGCTTGCTATTTTAGTGGTAAGGTCAAAAGATTGAAAGTATAGTAGTTCCTGAAAATAGGAAAGATCACCAATAGCATAAGTTGGCATGTTGAAGATTCTTAAAAGATAGAAAGAAGATAGGAAGGAGGGAACAAAAAAAGAGCCAAGGAAGCCACTGTACAAGTGGGTTTCTAAGAGAAAGCTCAGTGAAATTCTAAGCTTGATATCAACATATATAGAAAACAGTAGTGGGTTGTGGGTAGTGATCACACAATAAGT